CTCTGGTGTATCCAATAACTTTATTAAATTAGAAAAATATTTCCCCTTTTTAAAAGCAAACCATCACACAAACAGAACTACAGTGTGCATGCGGAATGAATATTTTATTACTAGATTATAAAAATAAAATACAAAATAATTTTAAAACAGAACTTAAAACACTGTACAAAGCTTTAATATGATACAAATGGGAAAATTAAATAAATAATTACACTTTTATGTACAGATGGCCTATACAAAAGCACTCCATGTTTCTGCCAATACTCTTATGTCCTCGGTTGCCTGAGCAAAAATGCATAAAGAGGGCTGCTTGGAGGGAAAAGGACAATACAATACCTTTGGAGGTATTTCAAAAAGCAACTTCTCATCACTCTGGTTTCATGAAGAGGAGGAGAAAGGGCGAAAACTGTGGGATTACTAAAGTCCTCTATCCTAACTTAACTGGTTTTGCTCGACAAGAAAATTCTTCTGGTTTTTGGTTCAATCTGATAGAACAATTGCCAGTAGTTCCTAACTTTCAAGAATTATATCTAAGTCAAAACTAGATGTCTCCCCTCTTTTTTCCTAAAAGCCGCAAAATGATACATAAATGACCCAATGAAATCAGCGCTGGTGATTTTAGGAATGGAGCCGGGAAGGGGATGGGAACTGTGCAAGGCGGAGGAGTGTGTGGACTCAAGCATGGGTCACCTTAACAGTTGTCTTCTTTGTTCAGCTCACTCAATCCAATTTCGGAGCCCCTAGTGGCAGAATGCTGTGTTTCTTTCATCTTCCTAACTGTATTTTTGAATGCTTTCTACCTTAGTGAACTAATTTATCTATCTTGTGAATCATTTAAAAAGAAAATAGTTTTGAAAAGTCCTAAGGGCTTTCCCCTCCCTGGGTTACTCCCTAAGATAAATCACATTCAAAACTCTAGTCACCTTGTCTATCATGGGTGAATGAAGAACAAAGCCCAGATTCCAAATATGGGGAAATGCTCTGAATGAATTTTTAGGGATTTTAAACTGTGTACTGTAAGGTGGGAAGAAAGGGTCATATGGCAAGGATAGTGTATATTAAAAACTTGGGTTTACGCAATGTTTTTAGGTGGGTGAGTGAACTGTACACAACATGAAACAGTATTAAGCTACTGAAAAGAGAGGTAAAATTTCTTTTGTTCGTGTGTAAAGCTATGTCATGGGCAAATTCTCTAGTCACATAGGCCCAAAGATCTGCCTCATGGAATCCTATACTGTAGGTCGAGGAACCCAGAACCACTGGCCCATGGGTACTGAAGAGACATGGCAGCATCACCAGTGACACACATGTACTATGCCCACACGGTCACTTCCAATTTAACAGGCAGACTCTCTTAAAGTTCCAAAGGATAATGAAGGAAAAGACTTCACTTCCTTTACATGTCTCCTCAGACCAAAGATCCAGCGAAGTGTAAGGAAATATTCAAGTCATTACTAAATGTTACTTGTTGGCTATTCGGTTTTTTTGAGATCACATATAATAACCACAAAGTGATCCTGATCTAGTCACAAACTTTCATTTTCTGATCCAGATTTGCTCAAGGGGAATGATTAGACATCCAGCTTACATTCTGAAAGTCAGAGCAGATCATCACAACGCACTTAGATAAGGTACTGATGGGCCAGGACTCTCATTTCATGTCTAGCCAAGGATTTCTTAGGGACTGAGGTGTGCAGCATCCACATTCCCCTCTAAAACACTAGGGATCCTGGTCCCATCTCCTGGCGCTCGCTAAGAGCTAGAGGAATTCCCCAGACACATCCTGCAGATCCCCCTTGCAGAATCTTCAGGCTCCAGAGACTGTCTGGGTTAACGTTCTCCTAATTCCAAAGAGGCAGCCAAACTACTGAGAAAATCCAATGAGAGATGTTTCCACACTCCTCCCCCATCCTCGCAGTGTACCCCAGAGTTCTACTGGATAGGGGGAGGGGAGTGGGACGTTCTAACCACCAGGAGGCAGGGGGCGTTTCCGTGCACCAAGTCCTCCTGTGTGGTCTGGGGACCTGCGGTTGCCACGTGTTCCCTTCTTTAAGTTAAGGTCTAAACCCACAACCATGGATTCGGGACTTGGGTGAATATGGACCTTTGGGGATGGCCATAGTGGTAACTCACCTTAACCTTGTAATACTTTTTGTGTTAAAACCTAGGTAACTCTTCTGCAAATAAACTGTACAGACCCAAACTCAAGAAAGTTGGACAATGCCACTATCATCAACCCTTCTATCTCTCCTCAGTGATACAGGTGCCAAAATACGTCTCCTTTTAGGCAAAGTCCCAACACATCTGTGGTAAACGCATATAAACAGAAGTGGGCAGAATATAAAAGAGTGAGTGTCAACAACTTAATTCCAAAATACATGAACATGACAGAGGAATGACTCTCTAACATATGTCGTGTTCTGATAGATACAAAGAAAAGAACAAAGTCTTGAAATGTGAAAACTTTGATCTCCAAGACTATATCTAGAGTTATCTACAAATTGATATATTTTCAAATAGCCAGAATAAGATGCATTTTTTCCCCCCTAAGCTGCTAACTCTGAATTCTGGATCCTGTTTCTCCTATCACCAATTTCTAATGTTAGGTTAAGAATGTAGTTCCTAGAACAAAGAATCCTCTAGGGAAAAAGCATCTGTTTTTAATTCAAAGCTATTGGGTATAGAAAAACTTATTATAGCTTTAACTATCTGTGTGTGGGTTTATAACACATGCACCAATGTACACTTTTTCCTCGTAGATTGAATGCAACCATAGAAACATTTGCATAAAAATCTGTGGCCTGGGAGGAATCTCTGATGATAACCAAAGAGCCACAAGTCCCCCTAGTGGTCAGGAACTGAGCAGAGCTACTGCACAACTAGTCCGCTGAATCAGTAAGCAGCTGGGATCTGCTTGGTATTTTAAAGCAAATAATACAAAGTGGATAATGACAACAGTGGGTATCAATTATCATGTTGCTACTTATCTAGGACTGGATTGACTTGGCAACTTTTACAAAAAAAACATTCACTTCACAACATGCAACTTAAGAAACGCAAGTGTGCTGGTGCCCTTGTCAGCAAGGCCAGCTTGCACACCCCAGTAGGAATGACGGCGCCCACCTGAGACTTCCCGTTCAAAGATGTTTACAGTCTGTGCTTTAAGGTTACATTTGATAAGATCCTATTTTCCTTTGTTCGCTATATATTAAAGTTAAATGCCTTTATGCTGTGCAAAAGATGGCCAGTGAAATTTTAATATTTTAACCCATCTGTATACCCTGGAGATTTGGCGGCATAATGCAAGAAGAATGCTGCTGATGGGGACTGAGAGGTGCGAATCCATTTTCTGTTCCACCCAAGTAACTCCGGAGACTAGACATGGCGGGGTAAGGGCAAGTATGATTAGAGTTGCCATCGTGTTGTGAGGGGAGAAACCAGGACGCACCTGATTTTCGAAAGCTGGTTTTCACTTTTGCCCCGTACTACTTTTCATATAGTTTGGCTTGACTTTAATTAATGGCCATGTCCCTCAGCTTAGATAAAATGACCAAAGTGGTTTAAAATTACTTGGATGATCTCTGTTTGTCACTGAAATCTGAAATACACCATCACTTAAAAAAAAAAAACCAAATAAATAAAAAAATAAGTAACTAAAACAACCAACTCATTCTCTGTATCATACCTTAAAATAAAGCAAAAACAAAAATCCTTGTGCCAAAAATGTTTTGCTCAGGGCTGCCAACTTCTCTTTTTAGCTTGAGACACTGAATATCTAAAAGCACAAACTATGCTTTTAAAAACCATAAAGTAAATCTCTATATGATAGTACTTTTACATGGGCCTATTGATACATATGATATAACTAGCCTGTTTTCTTTTGAAAGTATCAGAGCTGAAACATCTTTGGTTAACTCTTTCTTCTACACGCAAGATGAAGTATTCTTATACACTGAGGCTATTTCTCTCTGGATACGGAGTTCGTCGGTGCCATCTGGAAAAGGGGGCAACATAGTGGAAGAGTTGGGAGAAAAACAGAAGAAACCAAGAGAGAGAAAACACCCAATTGCCATGTTGCCATCACTGTTTGTTTCGACTGCTAGGAGAGAAATACCAATAAGAAATAACACACACACATGACTATAGCCTCATCTGCTTTTCCAATGGTTATGATGGGCACGCTTCTAATGACAGGGGTAAGGATTTAAAGCTGGCTACTTTTAGCACAATTTAGCTAATACAAGAGAAAAAAGAAGATAATTCCTTAATTGTAGACTGCTCCACTCCCCCACCATCCAAAAAATAGTGAGGTGCAAAGAGGAATGTAGAATGGCAATTTTTAAGAGATTTTTTTTCCTTTAAATCAATTTATGTCAGACCCATGATTATTGCCCTAGTTTATCCCCTTTAACCATAAGGACAGAATTATGTGATTAATGTGACAAATTTTTGAACCAGTATTACAAGCGTGTCCCAGTAATATTTTCCCCTATCAAAATTTTTAAAAGTGAAAATTAAATAGCCTATCTTGGCTTGAAGGCTGCCAACCCTTGCATTATACACAAAGAAGGCAAGAAGAATCTGAAGGGTCCCATGCCAAGAACATATTTTCAGAAAATGAAGACAGGCGAGGCCCAAGTGTACACGAGGCACACAATAAAAAGGAATTTCACCATCTGTGATCTTGAAATTACAAATGGAGAAGGAGAAAGAATGAGTTTATATAAGCATATGTTTCTCTATATATTTATAAATATTTATATCATTTACCATGAAGACATGCAAGTAGTGTTACAGCAAATATTATACAATATCATACAGAAGGACTGGTCTTCCAGTATTACAGTTGCTTTAGTTAAATAGCAAATATGTCTTATCTATTGCATTCCTCTGTAGTGCTTGAAACCGGAGAGAAATTAAGATTCCACACTATGCTACATTTCTTACGGGAGATCGTATAGGACTCGATAGTGTTTGGAGTTTCGGGGTTTTTTTGTTTCTGTTTTTGTTTTTAAAAACAGCTCCGCACAGAGAGAACAAGAAGACCAGTGCAGCTTCAGGGCAGCTTTGATGCAGCATCATGAGAATGTAGTCACCTGGTGAGGAAACAGACTTCTTTCTTTTTGGTTTTTTTTTTTCCCTTTTTTTTTTCTGGTTTCCAATTCAACCATATTCGATTTGGCAGCAAACACAAGGTCAAAGAGAAAGCACAGATGTTTGCTAGAAGGCAAATTGCAACAGCAAGCAGACCAATTTACCTGACCTCAATAAGGTCTGTACAACACAAAACACCTACAGAGTAGAAAAGAGCCCATTGGAAAAATCTAGCATCATTTACTTTTGCCTGATTCCTGTTAGCAGAAGACTGAAATGAGAACAAACACGCTCCTCCTTGCAGCTTTATAAATTGAGGTTACAAGGAAATCAGGTCCAAAAGCCCAAACATTCAAACTAAAGCACAGGAGAAGCAGTAATAAAACAGTAAAAGATAGATATTGAGCCTAAATTTATTTCCCCAGACACTCATTCCTTATTGGCTAAACGTATATAAAATACAAAGTTTGAGGATTATAAGCCTCAACAACGTACCTAATTTCGGTTTTTCTTTCTAAATCTCTTAAGAGCATAAAGTCACATTCCACAGCATCGGACTTCCCTGGTATCATCTTGGAGGTTGATATTGGAAAACAGTCAGTATCCAAAGACCTAAGGAAGCAAGGTCTGCTCTGGTGGGTCTTCCTTCCACAAGGAGGAAATGGAGGGGAAGAGGGTTCTTTTGTCTTGAAGGGTGTTCACCCCACTCTGTCCCTCTGTCCCTAACGTGCTAACGCCTGTGCAGTAGGCTGTTTCAGCTTCTCCTTCCTTTATCTAAGTTTCGGTAGTTCTTTTTCACAATAAAAATATACTGAGTTAAGAACTGTGAACTGTTACTTTTTTCTGTTCCACAGAAAAATATTAGGGGACTAAAAAAAAAAAAAAACCCACACACAACTGGATTGGAAATTTTCAGCATGTGCTGCTAAAAGCGTATTAGAAGGTACTGTTAAAGTAAGAAAAGGGAGATTGAGTCCGGGGAGATACTCTAACTTTAAAAACCATGAAATGCAGGGAGGGTAGTAGGAGTGAAGCAAAGTCAAGGTGTGAACTCCCAGTACACGAATAAACACACGAGCCGTGTGTACACGGGCACTGGCTCCTCAGCAGCAGACTCGTTATATATCCTCCTACTGGAGCAATTCTGACTCTCCAAGGTTGGGAAGTTTTGAACGAAAATATTAAAACAACAAATTTCACTTTTGCTATATAATCTTTGAGCAATGCCTTTAAAAAAACAGGCCGAACCCCTTAAAATTCCATTCCATTTCCTACCTTCAACTCCTTTGTTTCAAAGGCAGCTGAAAAATGAGAGTTCCTTTAATCTCCCCCTTGGATTTTGCTGGATTGCCCCTTCCTATGCAAAGGCATTGATTCCTGATCTGCTTGCTGCCTGCCTTAGGTAATTCCTTATCATAAATTTATGTCTTCTTATAAATAATTTATCATGTTTCTTTCTTTTGCAAGAGAAGATCAACACTGATTGTTTAAATAGACAGTACAGGGACACACATGCATCAGGCTGAGGAGGAAGATCTCACACCTTTCACAGAGATGCAGCCCGGCTTCTACCTGCTGAGTTTAGTGGCTGACTTACTCTTCCCGGGGGGGGCTTTAGTGCTGGCCGAGTGGTGGTGGAGGCTGCTGGATCCTTTCAGGCCATTCTTACTGGGTTTGCAGTGCTCCTGTTGGCAGGACCTCCTGGAGGAAGAAGATCCTGAGTGGCTGGGAGGGGACTTGCTTCTCCCCAGATGCGGGGACGAACTCCTCTGGTCATGGTGGGGCCGGGCAGCCCTGGATGGTGAGGAGCTGGACGTGCGAGGCAAGGAAGAGCTTCGAGGAGAGGCACTGGGACTTCTGCGGGGGACAACTGGACTCTTGGGTGGTGTTTTTGGATTGTGGGGTGATCCTGGACTCTTGCACTGAGGAGTGCCCCGCGGCTTCTGAGATCCATTTTGAAGAATTTGGGCCAGGCGGGAGAACAGGTCTGAGTCAGAATTGCTACTCCCTAGGACTTTATATCTGCGGAGCCTTAAAAGAACAGACAAGAATTCTTTTCATTTTAATCCAAAGGCGTCCAGAAAGTCACAGTGTCCTAATGATAATGTGTATAAGGTGAGTCAAGTCAGCAAACACTGGAAACAGAGTTACTCTTTCACACACCACTTGCATGAGCCTGGACAAATTACTTAACCTCTCCTTTTTTTTTTTCAAAGTGAAGTACAGTTGACACACGATGTTGTGTTAATTTCAGGCATACAGCACTACGATTTCATAATTCTATACATTAACAATGTTCACCATGATAAATTTTGTTACTGTCACTGTACAAATTTATTACAGTATCATTGACTATATTCTCTTTGCTATACTTTCCATCCCTATGACTTATTCTGTAACTCAAAGTTCATACCTCTTACTCCCCACCCTTCACCTATTTCGCCCACCCCTCCCACCCTACTCCCCTCTGGCAACCGGCGGGCTATTCTCTGTATTTATGAGTCTGTTTCTGTTTGCTTGCTTGTTCATTTTGTGTTTTTAGATTTCACATGTAAGTGTGAAAATACCATATGATTTCACTTATATGTACTTGGTATTTGTCTTTCTCTAATTTCCCTTAGTACGATACCCTCTAAGTCTGTCCATGTTGTAAATGGCAAGATTTCATTCTTTTTTATGGCTGAGCAATATTCTATGGCATGTACACACACACCCCCTACATTTTTGCCCATTCATCCATCAATAGACACTTTGCTTCCATATCCTGCCTATTGTAAATAATGCTGCTATAAACCTGGGGTGCATATATCTTTTCAGATTAGTGTTTTGTTTTCTTTGGGTAAATACCCAGATGTGAAATTACTGGATTGGATGGTAGTTCCATTTTTCATTTTTTGAGGGAATTCCATACTGTTTTCCATAGTTGCTGCATAAATTACATCCTCACCAGCAGTGCACGTCACCTCTCCTAGCTTTTAATGGGAATGTTATCTACCTCCCAAGATTACTGGGCAGCCAAGAATAATGGCGCAAGTAAAGTATTTAGTATATGTGCTGCGGAAGCGAGCACCCAAGTAAAGTATTTAGCTGGCTGGCTGCCGTTCAGAAGGACTTAAATGTTGTTGGTCCCTTTGTCCTATGGCACGTTTGCTCTTCCTCTTCTTTTAAGTTTTTATTCATTTATTTAAGTAATCTGTATACCCAATACGGGGCTTGAACTCATGACCCCAACATGAAGGCTGTACACACTTCTGACTGAGCTAGCCAGGCACCTGGCCTGTTTGTTCTTCTAATTTTAGGATCAACTTAATGAAACATCTCTAGCATGTTAGTAAGTATGAGAGAGAGTAAACCATTTTGTATAAGGCTCCAAGACAGAAATCTGGCATGTGTATATGCAGACATTAAACCCCACAACGTGAAGTACACTCACCAACATCAAGAACTACAGATCAAAGTATTATTTCAACCTCATTTAACACTTTGCAAAAGGAAAGCATAGTCACTGGTTTCTCTGGGCTTCAGTGTCTGTCTCTGACAATAGTCTGAGATTCAAGAAAGCTGGGTTTGGAGACTGACTGCCCTGTCTTACTGGCAACAGAACTTGGGCCCTTGAATTCTACATCTAGAGAATATTCACATGAATATCAGTGTCTCCTCTGGCCTACATTCTTTCTGTCTCAGCCTAAAACCCACTCAGTTAAAGAATTTAAACATCAGGGGCGCCTGGGTGGCTCAGTGGGTTAAAGCCTCTGCCTTTGGCTCGGGTCATGATCCCAGGGTCCTGGGATCGAGCCCTGCATCGGGCTCTCTGCTCAGCAGAGAGCCTGCTTCCTCCTCTCTCTCTGCCTGCCTCTCTGCCTACTTGTGATCTCTGTCAAATAAATAAATAAAATCTTAAAAAAAAAAAAGAATTTAAACATCAAACTGCTGGGGGGCCTGGATGGCTCAGTCAGTTAAGTGTCTGCCTTCAGCTCAGGTTATGATCCTGGAGTCCTGGGATTGAGCCCTGAGTCAAGCCCTGTGTCAGGCTCTGTGCTCAGTGGGAGCCTGCTTCTCCTTCTCCCTCTGCCCCTGCTCATGCTCACTCGCCCTCTCTCAAATAAATTAAAAAAAAAAAAACCAAAAACAAAACTTTTAAATGCTGACATGCCACTCCTTATGGAAGGAAGTGGGAGAAGAACTTGCAAGGTCGTATTAGCAGCTGTAGGATGCAGGGGCATAAATAGCCATCATCACCGTCATGGGTCAGCAATAAGCTACTGATTTTTTCTCTCTTCCTCCTTTCCCACCATCTACTTATTCTGACATGATGAAACTCCTTCTGGTTAAGCCTACCCTGGATGTTATAGTAAAGTCAGAAGAATGGAATAAAATAATTCTTCTGTGCCAGGACCTATGTGGGAGAGTTGAGTGACCCCTGAATTCCCAGATGAAGTCCAGGCTGGTCAGCTCTGTGACACAATGCCACACGCTTGGCTTGGTTACCAAGTGCTACTTTTAAGGGACTTGTAAAGTGTTAAGTAATAAATGATAACCAAGATTTGTTTGCTGAAGTCCAAAGCAGCTCAAGCCACAGATGACACCATCTCTACTAAGTACAGAGGACAAGCAGAAGGAAGAGGGGATGTGTCACTACTGTTCATGGAGTCACCTTTCTAAACTGTCTCAAATGACTGCTGTTTACTCATCACCATGCTTCCTGTAGGAGTCTAGTCCTATTGACACTTCAAATCCAATGTTTACCCTTGAACCTGAAACCCTATGGCAACTCAGAGCTAACCTTACCTAAGGGGAGCAAGTTCTGCTGGGTAATGATAATGATAGACTCCCACTTTAATACACTTCAGAATCCATAACAATAATCCATATTGTTGTACTATCTAGAATAGGCTACAGTCTTCACGTATTTTGATTTTCACCTGGTTTTTGTTCAAAGGCCATTCTTTTTCTCATTCTTCTAACAGGGCTGAGACCATTTTAGTCTGTGGAATGAATAATCGTTCTCCAATGAAAGCACTCTTTTTTTTTTTTTAAGATTTTTTTTTTTTTGAATTTTATTTATTTATTTGAGAGAGAGGCAGTGAGAGAGAGCATGAGTGAGGAGAAGGTCAGAGGGAGAAGCGGACTCCCCATGGAGCTGGGAGCCCGATGCGGGACTCGATCCCGGGACTCCGGGATCATGACCTGAGCCGAAGGCAGTCGTCCAACCAACTGAGCCACCCAGGTGTCCCAAGATATTTTTTTTTTTAAGATTTTATTTATTTATTTGACAGAGAGAGATCACAAGCAGGCAGAGAGGCAGGCAGAGAGAGAGGAGGAAGCAGGCTCCCTGCTGAGCAGAGAGCCCGATGCGGGGCTCGATCCCAGGACCCTGAGATCATGACCTGAGCCAAAGGCAGCGGCTTAACCCACTGAGCCACCCAGGCGCCCCCCAATGAAAGCACTCTTAAGTGGTTTATCACCTCCCAATAGTTTCCTCTCTTCTTTAAAATATAATTAGCCTACGGTCAACTCTATACAAGAATACTTCAATTAACAAGTATACCATGTAGTAAATATTGAAGTAATACTTTTATTATGTATGGCTATATGTATCATCAGACCTAAGGGAAACTGCCTATAGGGGTTTTGTGTTTGTTTACTTCATTATAATCAGATAAAGAGCACTGTGACCAGGACCCATTCATCAAATTATGGACACAGTCTTTTTCACGAGAATTTGACACCATAATGACATCTCTTATAATGGGATTTGGACTAGAAAAAGCTGGAAAATTACCGAGTATCTAGTTAAAATGGACTAGAAGAGAAATGACCTTGGTTGCATGCTAATTAAACCCGGCACAAAGCTCTACATGTACGCAACCATATTGCAGTCCACATGCGCAACCATATTTGATCCTCCCCAAACCACAAGGCAAATATAAGACCTATTTTATGTATGCAGAAGCTGAGGGTCACAATGCTAGAGAGTGGGAGCACTAAGAGTTTACTTCTTCTATACTGGCCTATAAAGCTTGGGGAAGGCAGTGAAGGCAACAGATAATCAGAAGCAGGCAACAGAGAAATGAGACCACTGACGTAACATAATCAAGCAGACACAGAGAGAACATTACACACTTAACACGGTGACAACACAGAGCCTTACCTGGCTTCCACTCCAGGCCTCGTGGGAGGCTTTCCTGGTGGTGGCCGAGGCAAGAACTGAGCTGAAGTTGCGCTACTGACTTGATCTGTGTTGACCCATGAAACTGGCCTTGGGATTTTGCTCTTTCTGGACTGGGAGATGATGGGTGACAGAAAGCTGTCTTCGGCTGATCTGCTCAGGTGCGAGTCTATAGCCAGTCTTGAAAAGGGAGCAAAGACCTCCTCCTCAGAAAAGGGGGCAGGAACAGTAGCTAGTCTCTCCTCCAGCAATTTATCAGAGGCACTTGAGAGATCCCCAAGAAAAGACTTGAGTTGCCTTTTTTCCACCAGAAGCCTGACGAGGTCTGGCTGATAAGCTTTCTTTTGGAGGAGCTTTTCTTTTGCGGAGACTGGAGAGGATGATTCAAAAGTTGAGTCTATCTCTTGGGCTAAAACAGGGATTCGGCTGTGTCTAGTTACAAAGGATGACCTGATCACATCCTTCCGGGATGGGGGACAATGTTCGCTCTCGGAAACAGAATGAAATAATTCCCCATTTCTAGGGGCCATTTTCTCTCTCTTACCCTCTTGGTGCAAAAATGTAGACAGGTCTCCCTGCTGACCTGGCAAGTCTGCACTCCTGAGGTCATCATCCTTAGATGGCTTACCTTTTTGCATTGCTGCCACCTGACCTATCTGTCCTTCAACATGTGGGTCAATGACTCGTGAAGAAACTTCTGAAGTTTCAACCTCCAGAAGCTTCATTATCTCATGATTTTTGTCTTGATTTGGCACTACACTAAAAGTGTGTGTCTTTGCCACATCAAGAGGTTCAGTGGTAACTGAGTGATCTCTTTCCACAGTTACCAAGTCTCCTGGAAGGGAGGTGATCTCAATATAATGCTGCCCTTTACTTAACTTCTCATCTTCATTATCTGACCCTAGAAGATTGCTTTTCTCTTCAGTTTCCCTAGGGAGACTCTCAAGTTCTCTCAAAGCCAGTCTGTTATGGTCAGGATGGTCTTTTGGTCCTAGATCTTGAGATTTGTTACACTCTCTAACATTGGATAACAAGTCATGACCAGTATGATCTATCTGCAGCCCCAACTCTGTTCTGCTTCCTCCACTATGAGGTTCACCTTCTGTTACAACCAGGCCAGAGAAGTTCTCCTTTGGAGAGTAAAGTTCCACAGTGGGTTCCACAGGCTGAAGGTCCTTCTTCTCTTGCTGTTGACCATAGTGAAAGCTTCCTGAAGTTGACTGTGTGGATGCCACAGAGGGTCTAGGAATTGTAATCTGGAGAGACAGGAGTAGAAGTGTTATGCAATAACGTGGAATATAATCAAGATGCCTGATTTGAAATTCCACATGTCAAATTCTAATTTGTAAGAGGAACACAGATATTGACCAGGTCTGCCCAACTCATATTTAAAATGAACAGCTCCAAATCAAAGTACATGATGCTCAAGCTCTCCCACCCAGGAGCTGTATAAAACAGTCTCCGTCCAGGCTCATCCCTGCCTCTTCTTTAGCCTGCTCTGTGCTCTACAACACTGACTTCTCCAGACTGCACGACTCAGGCTCCCTTGCCTTCTGATTTCCGGCTGGGTTTGCTCAATGGGCAGCACCAACAGAGCATCAGAGTTGGAGAAGAGAAAGGTCTGGGTATTATTAATATTTTCAAAGAGATTTATTATTTATTTATGAAAGTGAGACAGAGAGAGAGAGAGAGAGAAAGAGAGGAGGAGGAGCAGAGGGAGAAGGACAAGCAGACTCTGTGATGAGTGGGGGAACCCCAACACGGGGTTCAACCCTAGGACCCTGAGATCATGACCTGAGATGAAATAAAGAGTCAGACACTCAACGAACTGTGCCACCCGGTACCCCCAGGTCTGGGTATTATTTCTCTCTGCATCCTGCCCAAGGGATAGCAGCTTTGGTAGTGGCTACAGTTTACCACTTCTGACCACAGTTGCTATGGTATGGCCCCTCTCCTAGCTTTTATTCCCTCTTCCTCCTCCCACAGGACTCAAGATAGAAATGGCTCCCTCCACTGATGCTTCTGTTAGTTCTCTCAACTCTTCCCACCCATCTGTAAAAAGCTCTTCTCAGTAAATTCTCTCCAAGTCCCCTTGAGTGTGCCAGCTATTTTCTGCCAGAATCCAGATACAGGATTACAGGGGAAAAAAATTACTGGCAAATGGTACATTTAAAAATTCCAGATTTACATGCATTTTGTTTCCCATAACTCCTATCAATCAATTTTAGGAATATACAAGCAAAGCCATACAAAGAAAGACGTTTCCTAATGTTTCATTATCTTCTTTAATTTTTTAAGGTCAAGCCTATGATACCTTAAATTCTACCAACCTTCCACTGAGGTCATTTAACTCTATGTGAAGTAAGCCAAGCAGAGAAAGACAATTATCATATGGTTTCACTCATATGTGGAACATAAGGAATAGCACGGAGGACCATAGGGGAAGGGAGGAAAAGCCAAAGAGGGAGAAATCAGAGAGAGATGAACCAAGAGAGACTATGGACCCCAAGAAACAATCTGGGGGTTTCAGAGGGGAGGGGGTGGAGAGGTGGGGTAAAAGGGTGATGGGTATTAAGGAGCGCACGTGCTATGATGAGCACTGGGTGTTATACTTAACTAATGGATCACTGAACACTACATCAAGGACTATGTACTATACAGTGGCTAACTGAACATAATAAAAAAAAAAAGAGAGAGAGAGAGAGATTCAATATCTAATAAGAATGACCCAGGGGCACCTGGGTGGCTCAGTGGGTTAAAGCCTCTGCCTTCGGCTTAGGTCATGATCTCAGGGTCCTGGGATCAAGCCCCGCATCAGGATCTCTGCTCCACGGGGAGCCTGCTTCCTCTTCTCTCTCTCTGCCTGCCTCTCTGCCTACTTGTGATCTCTCCCTCTGTGAAATAAATAAATAAAATATTAAAAAAAAAAAAAAGAATGTCCTACCTTAAGACTCCTAAAGTTTCTACATTTTCACATTTGTTAAAAGTAACATGTAAGAGGCCACCTGGGTGGCTCGGTTGGTTAAGCGACTGCCTTCAGCTCGGGTCATGATCCTGGAGTTACAGGATTGAATCTCGCATCAGCCTCCCTGCTCAGCAAGGAGTCTGCTTCTCCCTCTGACCCTCCCCCTCGCACGCTCTCTCTCTTTCTTGCTCTCAAATAAATAAATAAAATCTTTGAAAGAAAAAAAAAGTAACGTGTAAGAAAACAAAAGTGATACATAAGGAGTCAGCAAATAACAACCACATAAACTGGTATGGAAAAAAAGCCTTTTTGAGAAAGGAAATAAGCCAAATTGCTTCATGAAGCCAATTTAGTTCTAGGAAAACTATGGATATTGGTCTGAATTCAAAGCAAAATGAATTTGGAACTGTTGTGGGAGATTATGCTTAGACCCCACCTTAGTCTACAGACATCAAGAAATTGGTGTTGTTCCAGAGTCAGACATACTGTCTGGATCTGTTTCTCTGTGTGTCAGGAATACAGTTAGGTTTACGAATATGTAAAGCTTATCCTAAACCCAGCCCAGGAGAAAACACCTAACTCATGTCCTGAAATAGCTCCTGGATAGAACCAGTATCCTGAGGATCTGTCAGGTTAATTGAATAAAGACAGGCTGTTTGGGTTCAGACGTGAATTCTTACAATAAGCCCAGACCTATAATGACCTTTGGGAAAAGGGAGTAAGTTCCAGAGGTGCTGTTGCCCTTCAGGAAGTCACCTCACACCTCTATCTCTTTCATTATTCTAAAATATATTCAGGCAGATGTCAATTTCCTAGTATATTTTAAAGATCATATTGAAACCTAACATGTATAGTTACTTACTATTCAAAATGTAATTTTTAAGACCTGAGAGTGATGGTGATAAGAAAATCAGGTACGAAGTTATAAAATGCCAAATAACAAGGGAGATGACTCGACCTACATTGAAAATACACCAAAAGTCACTTCATTATTATATGTAATTCCAAAACATCAGCCAAAATAAACTCAGCAGTGTTTACACAAGTAATAGTTTACTGCTCTTTTAAGATTGGAGCTAGGGAATCCATGCAATTCTGAGTTTAACTCATCTTAGATTCAGGATATAAAAGGATGTGTGTGGGGGCACCTGGGTGGCTCAGTGGGTTAAGCCTCTGCCTTAGGCTTGGATCATGGTCTCAGTGTCCTGGGATTGAGCCCCACATCGGGCTTTCTGCTCAGCAGAGAGACTGCCTCCCCCGCACCCACTCTGCCTGCCTCTCTGCCTACTTGTGATCTCTCTCTCTCTGTCAAATAAATAAATAATCTTTTAAAAAAAGGGTGTGTGTGTGTGGTATGACAAAAGGAGTGACAATCTTTTTTAAATTTTTTTTTAGATTTTATTTATTTTTTTGTCAGAGAGAGGGCACAAATAGGCAGAGAGGCAGGCAGAGGCAGAGAGAGAAGCAGGCTCCCTACTGAGCAAGGAGCCTGATATGGGACTCAATCCCAGGACCCCAGGATCACGACTCGAGCTGAGAGCAGCTGCTTAACCGACTGAGCCACCCAGGCATCCCAAAGGAGTGACAATCTTGTACACAGAAAAGATACTCTGCCTGAATTTTTCTTGAAAAAAGATTTTCAGCAATTATGATGAACTGCATAAAATACGCTCATATAATATTTCTATAGCACCTTAAGTTTCTAAAATATTCCTAAAACCATTTTTACTAATTCCATTTTATATCTGCCCTACATTTCAATTGGGTGCTATTTTTTACACAAATTTCACAAATGAGAAAAAAAAGGTTCAAAAAAGTCAAGGATAGGACCGAAGGGTTTTGAAAATCATGCATATCATACATAGCCCACCACATGCACTATACTCAACTGAAGTCTAGAAAAGTCTGCAAAAATATTATCTGACAAGATAAAAGGAGAAAAACCAAAGAACAATAGCTAAATGTAGTAAAAGGAAGACCAATTCTAAGTATAGCTGAAAATAACTTCCTTTTTTAAAATCTTTAAAAATTTATTTATTTATTAAAGATTTTATTTATTTATTTGACCCAGAGAGAGACAGCAAGAGAGGGAACACAAGTAGGGGGAAGTGGGAGAGGGAGAAGCAGGCTTCCCACTCTGCAGGGAGGCTGATGTCCCAAGACCCCCGGGATCATGACCTGAGCCGAAGGCAGACGCTTAATGACTGAGCCACCCAGGCGCCCCTGAAAATAACTTCCTTAACCTTAGACTGTAAAATTTGAAAGCAATTCCCACGCTGGGACACTTTACAATTGGACTAAATCAATGATCTGCCAGTAAGCCATATGCATTTTTTATATCTTTAATTTTTATAATTTACAAACATCTCATTAAAGCACGAGTTCACTCAAGTCCTTTCTTCTGTTCTCTAACTGTATAAGGTAACACCTTTTTATAGAACTAGAATATGACTTTGGTATTTTCCATTTCTTTAATATTAGTTTTACTAATGCCTACTACTCAGTTTGACTAACATCAGTCTCATTACTGTTTAGTTCAGATAAAGTAGCCTCATTATTTATCATTATCCCATGTTTATGACTGGCCAGATAGCAAGAGACAATAACTGCAAACTAGTTATTATGTACATTTAACTTATAAATACCCTTTTAACTTTCATCTCATTCAAGGGCTGTAATGTTAGTAAGATAATAAAAACTCTGGGAATTCAACATTGATACCAAACAGCCTCTCTTCCAAATAAAAGGTATGTGATTTATGAAATATCTAGATCTCGGGCACGTGGGTGGCTCAGTGGGTTAAAGCCTCTGCCTTCGGCTCAGGTCATGATCTCAGGGTCCTGGGATCAAGCCCCATATTGGGCTCTCTGCTCAGCGGGGAGCCTGCTTCCCCCTCTCTCTCTGCCTGCCTCTTGCCTACTTGTGATCTCTGTCAAATAAATAAATAAAATCTTAAAAAAAAAAAAAAAGAAATATCTAGATCTCATTTTGTTTTTTTGACAAATACTTTATGAGATATAGGTAGGAGAATAATTTAGTGGTTCCTACTGTTGCCAAGAATAACAGTTATATGAACACATTCCTGGTCTATTAAAAAAACTTTATTTATTTATTTATTTATTTATTTATTATTTAAAGAGAGAGAGAACATGAAAGGGGAGAAGCAGACTCCCCACAGAGGTGGGAGCCTGATGCGGGACTCCCCACAGAGGTGGGAGCCTGATGCGGGACCTGATCCCGGAATTCCAGGATCATGACCCGAGCCGAAGACAGTGGATTAACCAACTGAGC